AGGGTTGTCAAATCGATTAATCACATCCAAAATAAAGGTTTGTGTTTACATAACATGTGTGTGTGCTTTGTATATTTATGTATACATAAATAAACACACACACATGGATATATTTAATATATATGTATATATATATATATATATATATATATATATATAAATCATATATAAATATGAATACACATGTGTAAATATTTCTTAAAAGTATATACATGTACATATTTATATATACATATAAATATACACAAGGCACAAACATATATGTAAACAATCTTTTTGGATAGAATTAATTGCGATTAATCAATTTGACAGCTCTAATATAATATATATTGCATCCAAAATAAAATTTTGAGTTTACATAATATACGTGTATACACACACACACACACACACACACACACACACAGACGGACACAACCTGACAGGCCCATAAGGCTCTTCACTCTTGCCAGAATGAAATCATAGATCACTCACAGCAAGCCCATGGCCTGCAGAATTGATCAAGCAAGTGTCTTCAGTCAGCAATATATTTATGACTGCACACAAGCACCCACTGTTGCACAAAAATATTGAATATTGCTGGAAGTGAACTCTGGGAAATGCGGGTTACATGTCCATCATTTTGGCAGATCTCTGAGAATATTAAAGGTGTCCGGTAATTCCGTCCCACTGTAATACATTCAACTGAACACTTCACAGTCCAAACACACCGAGAGATTCATTTCACAGACTTCCTTTGCAAACACGTTTTTTAATAGCAGTTTAAAGTCCAGTAACATCCACTGTGTGTGATTACTGCCTGTAAAGGAAGTAGTGACCTCAGTTAAACCAATATTGTTTGATCATGTCATACCATTCCGCTATCTAAATCTAAATACATGAGTAAATCTTACATATATGAATCTTGTCGCATTAATCGATCAAGCAGATTAGTCAGGTTCCTAGTTCCTTTCACAAACTTTATTTGATTACATTTATTTTACGTTTTATGTTTTGACTTTACTTAATTTTTTTCTATATTTATTAACTGAGCAGATTTATTACAAAATGAATAGCATAAAACAGAATTATTGTCTAAATCTAACGAGACCTATAATTATAGGAAGACATCTGTTATATTCTGTTTAAAATTTACCTAACCAACTTCATATTATTCTGTTGTGTTCTATTTTATTTTGTATTTATTTATTCAGCAGATGCATTTACCCAAAGCAATGTTATATTATTCAATTATATTCCATTTCATTCTATATTTCTTTAACAAATGCATTTACCCAAACCAACTTCATATTATTCTAATTTGTTTATTAATTTAGCAAATGCATTTACCCAAAGCAACTTTATATTATTCTATTATCTTCTATTTGAACTATATTTATCAATTAGGTCCATTTGCCTAAAGCAACTTCAGCAACTTTAGCAGATGCTAAATTAAGAACATATTATAATAACACTATAGTAACATTTTATTCTATATTTATTTATTTAGCAGACTAACTTACACACAGCAACTTTGTATTGTTCTATTATGTCCTATTTTATTCTATATTTATTTACTTAGAACAGCATGCAATTTACTTTTTATTTATAAAAAGTACCTCAATATAGCGTTTTATTTTACAGGAAAGCTAAGGGGTCAATTTAGCATATGCATTTACACAAATTATCTTTTTATTATTCTATTATGTTATATTTATTCTATATTTATTTATTTAGGAAATGCATTTACTTAAAGCAACTTTTTAATATTCTATTTTATTCTATATTATTTAGCATATGCATTTACATATAGCAACTTGATATTATTTTATTACTTTATTTCATTCTATATTTATTCACTAGACATATTTACCTAAAGCAACTTCATGTTATTATAATATATTTTATATTTATTAATTTAGCAGATGCATTTACACAAATTAACTTTATATTATTCTATTATGTTCTATTTGATTCTATATTCATTTATTTACTACATGCATTTACCTAAAGCAATTTCATGTTATTCTACTAAAATCTATATTTATTCAGCAGATCCTTTTACACAGAGCACCTTTATATAATTCTGTTATGTTCTATTTTATTCTATGTTCATTTATTTACTAGATGCATTTACCTTTTCTATTCTATATTTATTAAGTTAGCTGATGCATTGATCCAAATCAACTTTTTAATATTCCATTTTATTGTGTGCATATTGCAACTTCATATTGTTCTATTGTTTTATTTCATCTATATTTATTTACTTATTAGATGCATTTACCTAAAGCTACTTCATGTTATTCTACTGTATTCTATATTCATTAATTTAGCAGGTGCATTTACCTAAAGCAACTTAATTATATTCTATTCTGTTCTATTCTTATAGATACAAAAGTCCTTCTATTCTGCATGAGTATTGCATGTTTCAAATTAATCACCAGTACCCATAATGGCCTCTGCTTCTGCTTCAGCAGCTGCAGAGGTCAGTGTTCTCTGGCCCGTCTCGGACAGGCTCTCAGGATACTGAATGGGGCAGTGAAGCCAACACGGTGGAACATTGTGTCAGTTAACGCAAGGGCAGCATTTCAAAGGAAACATATTTTTCATTTCTCAGCATCAGCTGCCAGAGGAAGGTGACTGCAGCTCCAGAGCTGTTAACCTTTAGCCGGCATACCGAGACCGAGCACTAAACCACTAATAATAGCCATCTAATGCTACACCACACTCGTTCAGATCCCGCCTCTTTATTGCTTCCTTTTCCCACTCCCTCTGTAATGTCTGCTGGAACGCCATTCCTATCAATATTTCATCACTGCTACCAGAAACATTTTTGTGCTCCCCATTCACATCGGACAGTGAAGCTCCTGTAGCTTTCCTAACTACGGCTCATGCAGTTTTGAAACATTTGAATCATCTCTGTTTATTAATAGGAAGCCGTCACATGACGCTGCACCCACTGCTACATGAGAGGATGCAAAACAGGGAGTCGTGTTATGATTGAGCTTTTGGAATTCCTCCGTAAATACTGTTAGGTACATTCGTTTGATGCATTTTTCTACCTTACTACAGTACAGAAGAACTATAAGAAGTGGACAGTGTTTGAAAACGGTCTTTCTCTGTTTGTCTAAACATCTAGCTGACATCTGCCTCAGCCAATGGTGTGAGTTTGGGGCGAGACTACTGTTTGTTCAATCAACGGCAAACAGAAAGAGTGTTCAGGATACCAGTTTGATTTTATTCTGGTCATTATTTTTACAAATTGTGATGCTAGTGGCTCAAAAACGAATCACATCAGCTTTAAAAAGTAAGTGAAACAGTATCCGATATAAAATGAAAAAGATTTCAAATGGTTTAGGCTAAACCCCTCTATATCTACTGTAAGCTTCAATGAAAACTTTGCCCTTGTTGAGTTCACCTGAGCTGGACAATAATGTTGGATAATACACTTGGATAATAAGAGTTGTTGCATGCCCGTTTGGCCGTTGCAACTGGTTTTCTTGCTCACCTGCGATATCTACTTTGTCCATCTGATATCCATCTACTTTGGCAAACACATTACACGTTTAAACCAGTAGTCATGTGACAGGTCTGTTGATCATGTGACTTTCATGGATATATTTGCCAGAGTTACTGGAAGGTGTTTGGATAGACACCGAAACGTCTTGTTGATTTTTTTTTATATAGTCCAGTGATTTTAATAAACACATTTTTTAACGTTTTTATTACCTGGATGATTTAGTTATGAATCTACACATCAGATCCAGGAAGTTCTGCTTCTTTGCCCCCCACTGATGGGACGTCCTTAAAACTGCACACTCACTGGCGATATGGCAGTTCAGTTTCTAGACAGAAAAATGCCTTGACGTATCTTCATTAAAAGAAAATGATAGATAAGTCAACCCAATTGGGTATTATAAAGTCAGAATTGCGTGATATAAATTACTGATATGTTAGTCTTAGAAATAAAGTCAGAACTGCGAGAAAAAAAGTCAGAATTGCGAGATATAAACTCACAATTCTGACTTTTTTTCTCACAGTTCTGACTTTATTTCTCAGAATTGCACGTTTACGGTATATATCACAATTATGACTTTTTAACTCGCAATTGCGAGTTTGTATCACGCAGTTCGGTGAAAAAAAGTTGCAATTACCTTTTTTATTTTTTTATTCAGTGGCAGAAACAGGCTTCCATAGTGATGTGCTTTATTGTCCTGAAAATACACAATAAAACTTCAAATTATATAATAAATTTTGGAACAGATTGACACTTATTAATCTGACAACTGGACATTGATATTGGATGATGGCCTAGTCATTATATCTGTTTTTTACTACAATAAAGACAATTTGAAAGAGAATGAGTAATAAAGATAATGAAGGACAAACAAACAGAGAAAGAGACAAAAAGACAGAAAGATAAACTTGAGTGAAAATGTGAATGCTAATAATCAATGCTGAGTGTTGCTCTCTAAAACACACTGCTTCTTTCTCATAAAGCCAGTCTGGAAAAGAAAATATCCAATCAGATTCCAGCCATTCCTCTCATGTCACAAGCACTCACAAGGACTCACACCACAACCTGTTGTGTGGGAAGAAGCCATTGATATGATTACTGCCACACACACACACACACACACACACACACACAAACACACAGGTTCAGCCTGAGCTGCGGCGTCTCTTAGACGGATGGTGTCATAAGTATGATTTGGGATCACGTCCAGAAATGCCACTGCTGCCATCCGTCTTGGAGCTGCGCGACGCACATTCGTTTGCCACAGAGCGGCACATCGGGTTCTCAGAACAAATATTGTCTGGGATGAGTCACAGCCTGAGTAATTAGAGATGGCGTCTCCCTGAGTCATACATGTGCGTCCGGCTCTTGAGTAACTGGATTGTGTTCATTTGGGTTACCACGGTAAACACACTCCCTCACAATGGGCGAACGGCTCGGCTTACAATGGAACAGCAACATAGAGAGTCCTGAAAGAGAAATGCATTCTGAGTTAGATAGCAAGACAATGCAAGCCTTGTTGTGTTCAGCTGCAAATTAACATTTCTCTGTCTCTCTAGGTGATGGAATAGATGATGTCGGAAGTACAGGGCACTGTAGAGTTCTCGCTGGAGCTGCACAAGTTTCACAATGTGGATCTCTTCCAGAGAGGGTAAGTCTGTATTTTTCTGTACGTCTAATGAAGGCTCTGTTAAGTGTTCGGGAAGAGCACATGGTGACAACATCACGCATAAACACTAAGAGACACTTTGAATCAGTTTAATTGTCACATTCCAGGCATTTTTCCATGTTCTTTTTGGATGCAGTGAATAGTCAGCTTTGTGTCGTATTCATTTTGTGTCATGCGGCACAAACACCAGAGCTGGAAATCAAAACTAGAGTTTTGGTACATGTCTCATTATGCTAACAGCTAGTGTAGTCCTAAAAGCTGACAATATTAACTTTTAGCAGATATATGCATTTTCTCTAATGGGAAATTGGATGCTTTTGAAGGAAGTCTCTTCTGTTAACCAAGGTTGCATTTATTTGATCAAAAATGCAGTAAGATCAGTAATACTGTAAAATATTATTACTACTAAAATAACTATTTTCTATTTGAATATATTTTAAAATGTAATTTATTTCTGTGATGCAAAGCTGAATTTTCAGTATCATTACTTCAGTCTTCAGTGTCACATGACCCTTCAGAAATCATTTTAATATGCTGATTTGCTGCTCAAAGAAACATTTCTTATTATTATCAATGATGAAAACAGCTGTGGTGCTTAATATATTTGTGGAAACTTTTTTTTTTTTCAGGATCAACTGATGATTATAAAGTTCAAAAGAACAGCTTTTGTAACATTATACATGTCTATACTCCCACTTATTATCAATTTCATGTATAATTAAAGTATTAATGTAATGTAATGCAATAAGTTTACAGGAAAAGAAAACGGTGCTTCTCGTGCAATTTCATAGAGTTTTTAAAGGTGAAGCATGTGTGATTTCTGAGCCATTAGTGGTAACAAACGAAATTTGTAATCTGTTTGAGCATTTTGATTGGCTCAGACATATTCACCGAACCAATGGTGTGAATTTGGGGTGGGGCTATCTGTTTGACCAATAGCAGACAATAATTTTATTTGAAAATATATTTGGTACCTCTAGTGGTGCAAAAAATAACACACTTTTCTAAATGTGGATCTTACACCTATTTTAGGATCACCTGTATACATGTTTAATCTAAAAAAAAAAACAACTTCTATAACTGGCAATATTCCCATTATTCTAGGTACATACATATGCGCAAATACAAGCTATTCCTTGAGGAGAGAATATTTATTTCTAATAAAATAATGACATTTACACATTTGTTTAATGCTAATTACTTTGAAAACAGCCATAACCACCATACCAGTGTCAATGCAACCACTCTAACTCTCAGCTTCCACTATAATCAAAACAGTTGTCTATGCTGCAAATGTCTAAAGTCGTGTTGTGTGCATTGTGGACAGCTTCACTGACTGTAACAGGAGTTATCTTTGGGTTCCGGTGCATCGCTTGCTTGTGTTGATTGGGTGTTAAACAGTGTTTTCATTTAAATCTCCCTGCTAAGACCATGAGATGTCACATGAAGGTGTTTGTTTCAGTAGACTGGTAGAATAATGATTGATTTTTGCTTGCTTTGTACATTATGTTCCTGTCATTGGTTCAAGCCAAATCAATTACAGTCAGCAGGTGAAGTCTACAGGGAATTCAATGACTTTTCAGGTCACTGATTTTTAACTATGGAGGATACAGGGATCTGACTAGGAACTCATTTGAGATTCAGGGACAAAACTGTGCTTCCATGACCTTTATGATTCGTGACTAGAGTTCTGCTGCCACGAGTTTGGTGCTAGTCCAGTGGTTGACATTCAATAACATTGGCATGTTATGTGCACACTACCATTCAAAAGTTTGGGGTTGATCAATTTTGATGAATATAATGCATTCTTGCTGAATAAAAGTTTGCTTTAAAAAAATCTTACTGAATGGTAATATATGTAAATATACAGTATATATTAAATATATACACTAAATATATATTAATAGTTAGTGTACTTTTTAGTGTTAGTTAGTACTTTTTAGTTAGTTTTAGTTAGTGTACAAAAAGGTGATAAAAAGGGTCAATTACAGGATTTTACATGGATACTTTCCATTATACGTTATCTAAAAATTAACTATCTTGATTGAAAAAAAACAACAACAACTGTCAACTACCAATTTAAAGACAACATGAAAACATATTTTATCCTATTTACCGTATTTAATAAATGCTCCTGTTTTTATTGTAAAAAAAATGTTGGAGACATTTTATGGAGGCAAATAAAAAATGCTATTAATTATAATTAAGGTCAATAGTGAGTGTTAACAGTACATTAGCATTTAATTTAACAACTTCATAATTTTTTTTAACACAAAAGGATGGGAGATTAAAGGTCTCGTTGTCTTGAAGAACCAGGTAGTGCTAGCGCAAAAGTTACAAGTTCAATCCCAAGGGTGATCAATAAAGTTTCTGAAAAAAGCAAGTCTATAAAGCTAGAAACACTAGAGACTCCCAAGGCACATCTACTGTAGACACCTGTCTGTCAGCAGATCTAATATAGTATTACCTCTCTATCCTCCACTGTTCTCCTGACAGATGTGTGAAGCAGAGGTTGCGATGGAGTAGAGGTCACTCATAATGTTTTTCAGCTCAGCCCGTCTGCTCTGAGATTAAAGCAAGGCCATTGCTTTGGCTGAAACATCAGCTTTGCAGAGATTTGACTGGCCCTTCCCCCCTCCATAAAGCAGAAAGCTCTTGTCTGAAATAATCTCCACAAGACACACACTGCTCTCTAATGTACTGTTTGTTTTTAACAGCCCCTGTATGTAGTTCCTACGGTGTCCGAGAGAGCTCAACGTACCGCAACTTCAGAAAACACATGCAGATAGAAAAAGCACCAGCAAATTAAGAAAACGTCTTCATCAGTTTGACAGAACATGTCCTGCAAATACTCGCAACACAACCAAATACAAAAACACGCTGCAAATGCTCACAACACAAACAAATAAAGAAATGCGCTGCAAAAACAGAAACGTGCTGCAAATGCTCACAACACAAACAAATAAAGAAACGAGCTGCAAAAACAGAAACGCACTGCAAATGCTCACAACACAAACAAATAAAGCGCTGCAAATGCTCACAACACAAACAAACAAAGCGCTGCAAATGCTCACAACACAAACAAATAAAGAAATGCGCTGCAAATGCTCCACAAACAAATAAAGAAATATGCTGCAAATACAACACAAATACAGAAACACGCTGCAAATACTCAAAACACAAACAAATAAAGAAACACGCTGCAGATACTCACAACACAAACAAATAAAGAAATGCGCTGCAAATACTCACAACACAAACAAATAAAGAAAGCGCTGCAAATGCTCAAAACACAAACAAATAAAGCGCTGCAAATACTCATACCACAAACAAAGCGCTGCAAATGCTCACAACACAAACAAATAAGGAAATGCGCTGCAAATGCTCACAACACAAACAAATAAAGCGCTGCAAATGCTCACAACACAAACAAATAAAGCGCTGCAAATACTCACAACACAAACAAATAAAGCGCTGCAAATACTCACAACACAAACAAATAAAGCGCTGCAAATACTCACAACACAAACAAATAAAGAAATGCACTGCAAATACTGGCAACACAAACAAATAAAGAAATGTGCTGCAAATGCTCACAACACAAACAAATTAAGAAATGCACTGCAAAAACTGGCAACACAAACAAATAAAGAAATGTGCTGCAAATACTCACAACACAAACAAATAAAAAAAACACGCTGCAAATGCTCACAACACAAACAAATAAAGAAAGCGCTGCAAATGCTCACAACACAAACAAATAAAGAAATGCACTGCAAATACAGCACAAACAAATAAAGAAACATGCTGCAAATACTCACAACACAAACAAATAAAGAAACACCGCTGCAAATACTCACAACACAAACAAATAAAGAAAGCGCTGCAAATGCTCACAACACAAACAAATAAAGAAATGCACTGCATATACTGGCAACACAAACAAATAAAGAAATGCACTGCAAATGCTCACAACACAAACAAATAAATAGCACAATAGCACAGACCACATACAAATACAATAAAACACATAAATAGCACAGACCACAACAAAATTATCCCAACAAAACGAAAATTAACCATGCTTTTTTTTTTTTTTTTTGGCATATTGATTACCGTTTGTATAACCACAGTTGTACAAATACCATGGTTAAAACTATGGTTAGTGTAGTAAATCCATGGCTAATTTGTGCATGGTTACAGTAACCATTTTTTTGTTTTTTTTATTTTACTTATATAATAAATGTATGTATTAATTAATTAATTTTAATAGTAGGCTACACTCTTAAAAATAAAGGTGCTTCACGATGCCATAGAATAACCTTTTTGTCTAAATGGTTCCATAAAGAACCTTTAACATCTGAAGAACCTTTCTGTTTCACAAAAGGTTATTTGGGGCGAAAGAAGGTTCTTCAGATTATAAAAAGGTAAGAAAGAGATGGTTCTTTAAAGAACCTTTGACTGAATGGTTCTTTGTGGAACCAAAAATGTTCTTCTATGGCATATTTTTAATTTTTGTAAGGTAAGTTGTAAAGGTAATTTAGCCAGCTTACATAACCTTTAATCACTAATTAGTTACAGTAATTGTGTATTTCGTCAGCTTATTTAGGCTAATAATATCCACAAAAAAAGAGCTAATGAATATGATCAGGGTGTTAAAATAAACAAAAATCTCACCTTTCAGAGTAGACAGTGCATGTCCTCTCACCTTTCAGAGCAAACATTGATAAATATGTCCCAGCCATGTTTGTCACTTTGCAGTTCCCTTAAACATTTCCGATGTGGTCTGTGTCTATTTGCAGCGTTTCTGTTTTTGCAGCGTATTTCTTTATTTAATTGTGTTGTGAGCATTTGCAGCATGTGTGTTGTGAAATTGATGATGTTTTTTTTTTTTTAATTTGCAGGTGTTTTTTCATTTGCAGCGCGTTGGGCTCTCTCGGCCACCGTAAGTTCCTGCTCTGAAGAGAAGCATCTAACAATAGAACAGGGCCGATTGAACTAATAGACCTTTAGACTATAAATGTCTGATGGAGCCAAACAGCATGTGTTATAATGAGCGCTGAGAATCTGTTTGGGAATGAAGGACTCGCTGGGCAGTGGTTCACTGGTGTGTGTGTGGTATTGGTTTGAAGAATGTGTGTGGATTTGATGAAACAGAAAAGAACAAATCAATGCAGATTTCTCTTAATCAACAAATCACTGACATATGACATCTAACTTAAGCACAAATGTGCACTAGTTGAAAATGCAAATTTAATGACCAGAAGAGGAATTATTATTCTGTCATCATTTACTCACCATCATGTTGTTCCAAACCTTTTTAATCTGGGGAACAGAAAAAAAGTAATTTCAAAACAGTTTTCCATTAAATTGAACTGACAAGCTTTCAAGCTTTTAAAAGGACACAAAAGCACCATAAAGGTATCATAAAAGTAGTCCAAACGACTAACTATATTTTGTTCACACAAAAATTAAAATTCTGTCTCCATTGACTAACACAGTATGGAAAAAAGAAGAAGAAGAAAAGAAAAAGTAAAAAACAATGGAAATCAATGGGGACAATCAACTGTTTGGCTACGCATATTGCTTCAAAATCTTTTTTTTTTTTTTTAATGTTCAGAGAAACTCATACAAGGCTATGATTTAATAAGTTGTGTGATTTTTTTTCTTCTTCCTCAAGTCATGTTCAGGGCTCTGTACTTTTGTGAGGAACAAACCAAACTGTAAATTAATATGTGCTAAATAAATTAGCTGAATTTAATTTAACTGTGTTCGGAATCCATTTGCATTGACTTTGCTGCATTAACTAAAACTGTATGAGTGGATTTTTAGTTCCCAGCATGCTTTGTACAGTGCTGAACTGGGAGAGTAGATGTTGTAATTTTATGCATTTTTGAGTAAAGGGAAATACATGAAAATAAACAAGAAAATACTATTTCAGTCATTCTACTTTAAAATGTCATGTTTAGTTCAATGTTACTTGCTGTTTCTTTGTAATTAATTGTGGAATTTACTAGCAGTTTCTAAATAAAATAAAATGTATTTTAAGTAAAATGAACAAAGTGAATAAATATGATCTTCTCAATATTTTATTTTTATTGCTTGCCACTGCACTGGCATTAACACAGCTATGTTCACTGAATGAATTATCAAACACCACAGTCATCATCTAACCATATTACAACCAAACCACAAGCTCTACTCTCCAGCACTATGGTTACCACAAAAACTTAATAGCAAAACACCATAAGTAGTTTTTTATTCAGCAGCGATCTCATGCATTTCAGACGTTTGTAGCTTGTTCAGGCTGTATACTTGTTTAACATGTGCTACAGACAGTTTAGCAGGTGTGATATCATTTGTAGCTTGTGCTTCAGCATACAGACATTTTAACACGCAGTATAAACAGTTTACCACATGCTACAGCGCATATCATGCAGTTGATTTGCTTTAGCATGTGATCAAACGGTCTGTTGACGGTGTGAATTGTGTGAATTGCAGTCGTGTTTAGTATGTGCTCTAGATGTGGTGAAGCTTGTGGATGTTGTAAATATGTTTTGATGTGTACTGTAGACATATTTAGCATGTACTGTCAACATACTGTAGATGTTCTTGCCAAGCTCAGGAATACCCGACTTCATCTCCAGGGAGCTGCAGCATGATCATGATGTTGGAGTGCTTCAACATTTAACATGCAACTGCACTCGCTTCACTGGCAAAGGTGACCTTTGTACAATCCCCCTGATGGAGTCTGGGCTGTCTGAGCATGCCAACTAAGCTTTCACATTACTTCACCATCATTATTTATGATTTAATAGAGATTCACTGCATAAAATCTCACACTGACCAGATCAACGGCTGTTTATCGTGATCTTGGTCAATGTAAGTGGTATAGGAGCATGCATTATATCCATTATTTATTGCCATTTTGTCCTGTAGGGATTAATAATTCAGGCACATTTGAAGAGGACTTTACCGGTATGGCTGGGGAAAAAAATGCCAGTCTTTTATTAGGTAACAGGTTTGGTGGTGTATATAAAGTTCAAATGACCAGATTTCAGAAACATTGATTGTATAAATGGATATGAAATTGAACAAATACGTTCCTTCTGTAATGTGTTCGGTCACCTGCAGTAAATGATATGAATGATCATTTTTAAGTGAACTATTGCTTTACACTCACCTAGTTTAAAGAAACAGTTCAGCCAAAAATGGCCTCCAAAAATGAGAGAAGCCAGTTAAAAGGACAGTTTACCAATAAATGCAAATGCTGTTCATTTACTGACTCTCAGGTCATCCAAGATGTAGGTGACTTTTTTTCTTCAGTAGAACAGTAAAGAAGAATTTTAGCTGAAACCATGGTCCTAGGTGATTCATATAATGCGAGTCAGCGGTTAAGAAAAGCATATCAAGAAACACAAAATGAATACCCATGGCGCCTGACAATATATTGAGGTCTTATGAAGCGAAATGATTGGTCTGTGCAAGAAACTGAACCCTATTTCCAACATTATTACCTGTAATCCAAAGCCTCAGGCAAACGGTCCGGAGTGATTTCAGGTTTGCGAATGAATCATTCTTTTGAACCGGTTCTAGACTAAACCGTCTGAAACGGTTCTCAGTTCGAGCAGCACAGATTTACAATTTACTTTGGATTACAGGTAATAATGGTGCTAATAGTGTTCAGTTTCTTGCACAGACCAATCGTTTCACTTCATAAGACCTCAATACATCATCAGGAGCCATGGGTATTAATTTTGTGTTCCATTATATGCTTTTTTTGATTCTCAAAGTCTTTTTTTGAGGATCTAATTAATAGGAAAGCTTACTGAACTTGGATCTTGAACTTAAATTTGGAGCTTATTTTACTTGCAAGACAAAATATTAGTTTTGTGTTCATAGAACTTGTATATAATGTTTGTTGAAAGCACAGACCAACTTTAATTGTTATACATTCCACAATTTCAAAATTACAGCAACTTTTTTCCTGTTGAGTGTACTCAAAAATGTCCCGAAGCTTGTTGCCTTGAGTTTAGGAGTTTTCTCACTGCATCTAGACCATTTTAACACCAGCAAACAACCTAGATTTATTTTTTTCCCCCTCAGACACACTGTTATTTGTGCTGTTGTTCAGTCTGCAATTTTTTATGATAATGATTCTTTGTTCAACTGAGTTGTAATCCAGTGTCTTTTCCACGTTGTAATCTGTGAATAAAATCTATAATAATTAAAAAATTCTCTGTCAATTGCAGCTTCTATCAGGTGAGGGCAGGGCTGCGTGTGTCTTCTCGGGTTCCCCACAGAATCACTGCCACAACACCTGGATACACAGGTGAGAACTCCATATATTCACTTTCTTCATCTCAGAGTCTCCATAAATCAATGTGTGCAGCATCAATATGTCAAACAACATGCAACTAATCAGTTAGCAACATCGGCTTGTGTGTCTAGATTCTTTTCTTTTATTAGATTCAATGTTTTTAGTGGTGGTGGTTTAGATTCAAGATGCATTATCTGAGAGAGGGTTTTAAACTGTCAGCACGCTAAAATCCTCTCTGAGGAGATGCATCCCTAAATTCATTCCCTATAAAGGCACATTAGAAATTTTGAAACTAATTCAACTTCTTAAACAACAATTTTAGAGACAATTACTGATGCACATTAAATAACTTGCTGTAAGCAATGTTCCTGTTATTACGCACAATGCATTTGTGAGTACTTCATTTTGGTTACAATTATTCAGCCTATTTACCTTGTTTTGCTGGATACAGGATTATAGTGGAGCCCATCGGATGAGTGTGAGCATTCGAGGGCTCTTTCCCAGAGGCTTTTGGGAGGATTCCCCTCGCTGTCTCCGCTCCCACTATTAAAAATAAATGTGCAGAATAAATTTAGACACACATAGGTCTTTCTGTAACAAAACAGCCTTTAGAGGACAGAGAGAGAGATACAGAGACAGAATTTACTATCTTGATATAAGGCTTTTAGAGTTGGACAAATTATCGATCACGCACTAATACTCTATCACTTGCTTTCAAAGTCAAATACAGATCGACAAATGACAACGAGTGCAATACAACAGCTGATTTGTTCAACACTTATGCAAAATATTATTAAATTATTACCAAATTAAATTAATTCATTACACAGTTGAAATGCTTCATTTTGAATTCTTACGTTTTAAATTTTAGTTTTTAAAGTGTAAACAACGTTTTTACTTTTATATATATAATGTTATAATTTATTCATGTGTTTAATATATATATATATATATATATATATATATGTATATATACACACACACACACATTTATAATTGTGTTTAATATATTTAAATATAATATTATTTATCATTTTAACATTTTATATATTTTCATAAATGTCTACAATATCACCTATAAACTATATAACAGAACAATTTGTATGGGATTATTATTATTAATACAAATACATAAAATTACTTGTTTAATTTTTACTTTTACTGTTTTCTGCCATTTTGTAATATGCATTACCCTTACAGCATAGTAAAATCACAGTAACACATGGTCTTTCGTGGCTTATTCTATTATATTACACATATAAAGGTATACATTTGCTGTATGATTATTTTCATGGTTTTCTATGACCCCTTGATTACAAACATACACACTCTATGCTATTTACCTATTGCTTGTGTCTTGTTCTGTGTCTAACTTACATTCTTCACATTCTCAGCACACATTCTGCGCTCAAAACAGTAATCTCCAGGCTGCTTTAGTTTTATGGCCATCTAAAGGCAATCAGGGACACGGACACCATGTTTCAACAGGTCACGTTGTGTCAGGTGAAAATATAGTGTGTTTTCACAACACTGACGGCTTCTTTAGTGTCACACACAGGTCACCTGCACATACACAATTATCAAAAGATCCAAAATAAGTATTTTTGAAAGACACACTCTATCCAGAAAAGCCTCTTAAAAATCTACTTCAACACTATATTTTCTTTGTAATATCTTACCAAACACAATTTAGAAGATTAATCACTCTATTCACCCATGGGACTGCTGTTTACTTCCCAATTTGCATTCAGAGCATGCTTCTGAAAGTGACACAGGTTTATTCGGTGAGGCCTCAGATACTCATCTGAATCGTGTGATTCCAGATCAAATACTGCTGTCTGACTGACATCACTTCACCATAATGAGCTTCTGGGCAGACTTTCATCTTCTGTTTACATGAGAGGATACAACAAGACTAGAATTTTGTTGCTGGATGTCTGCTGTCTTTTTTTTGCTGACATAGGCTTGCTTGTAATTCTGGTATTTCTAAATAAAAAAAAAGGCACATTATACACACAACCATTCAAAAGTTTGGGATCAGTAAGATTTCATTTTTTTTGTAAGTCTGTTTTAATGCTCACCAAAGCTGCATTTATTTCATCAACAGTACAGTAAAAGCAGTAATATTGTGAAATATTGCACTTTTTTGGGCTTCAAAATCTCGACCCCCATTCACTGCCATTATAAAGCTTGGAAAAGCCATGACATTTTTTAATATAACTCAGATTGTATTTGTCTAAAAGAAGACTGTCATACACCTATGGCTTGAGGATGAGTAAATCATGGGGTAATTTTCATTTTTGGGTGAACTACCGTCACATTCGCTACTGTGAGGGAGCACGGCACGAGGAATGAGGAGACGTGGAGTACATCAACAAGGAGACTTTATCCATCCACCACAAGGGAACCAGGAAAACACACATAGCAGGAGAGGTTGACATATACAATAACGGACACCAAACCAGTGTTGCCAACTGCTTTCAATTGAAAGTAGCTAAAACTGGTAGCTAAATGTCACTGGATGGCATCACAATGGCAAACTGTCTGATCTATATAAAGATGAACGTATGTCAGCAGGCAAGATGAGAACTTAGATAAGGTTTGTCCAAGAAGTTGCTATATTTGTCCCTAAACTTTTGAAAAACATCTCAAACGTGGCAGGGAAGTTGCTAACTCTAGCTACAAAGTAGCTAAACTGGCAACACTGCACTGAACTAAGAACAGGGAACACTTTATATACACATGACATAACGAGGGGATGAGGAGACACACCTGGGATTAATATAACTAAACGGGAAACACCTGGAACAAATGATAAGGACAGGAATGGGAAGGACCAAATATGGGCATAGAAATACATGGGGAGCAAAACACACACAAAACACGGAACAGAGTCTGACACTACCCCTTTAATTTATTTAAACAAAAATCTTACTGACCCCAAACAAAACAAAACCGTAAGTGATAACAGCTTTTTGTCATGTCCCTTTTACATTTTTTGTCCAACCAGGACAGTGATAAATTAAGTATTTCCTGTTCATTCAGTTGCTCATTTTGCTTTAGTACTAGACATATGAGATAAAACACAGCAGTTTTCTTTGGCTATCATAACTTAATGCCTTTATTGAGGAGTTGTGTGTGTGTGTGTGTGTGTGTGTGTGTGTGTGTGTGTGTGTGTGTGCCTATGGCTTGAGGATGAGTAAATCATGGGGTAATTTTCATTTTTGGGTGAACTACCGTCACATTCGCTACTGTGAGGGAGCACGGCACGAGGAATGAGGAGACGTGGAGTACATCAACAAGGAGACTTTATCCATCCACCACAAGGGAACCAGGAAAACACACATAGCAGGAGAGGTTGACATATACAATAACGGACACCAAACCAGTGTTGCCAACTGCTTTCAATTGAAAGTAGCTAAAACTGGTAGCTAAATGTCACTGGATGGCATCACAATGGCAAATTCACTGATCTATATAAAGATGAACTTAGATCAGTGGGCAAGACGAGAACTTCGAAAAGGTTTGTCCAAGAAGTTGCTATATTTGTCCCTAAACTTTTGAAAAACATCTCAAACGTGGCAGGGAAGTTGCTAACTCTAGCTACAAAGTAGCTAAACTGGCAACACTGCACTGAACTAAGAACAGGGAACACTTTATATACACATGACATAACGAGGGGATGAGGAGACACACCTGGGATTAATATAACTAAACGGGAAACACCTGGAACAAATGATAAGGACAGGAATGGGAAGGACCAAATATGGGCACAGAAATACATGGGGAGCAAAACACACACAAAACACGGAACAGAGTCTGACACTACCCCTTTAATTTATTTAAACAAAAATCTTACTGACCCCAAACAAAACAAAACCGTAAGTGATAACAGCTTTTTGTCATGTCCCTTTTACATTTTTTGTCCAACCAGGACAGTGATAAATTAAGTATTTCCTGTTCATTCAGTTGCTCATTTTGCTTTAGTACTAGACATATGAGATAAAACACAGCAGTTTTCTTTGGCTATCATAACTTAATGCCTTTATTGAGGAGTTGTGTGTGTGTGTGTGTGTGTGTGTGTGTGTGTGTGTGT